GAGAGAGAGAGAGAGAGAGAGAGAGAGAGAGAGAGAGAGAGAGAGAGAGAGAGAGAGAGAGCCACAGGGTATCAGCGAGTGTTGCTGTGCGCCACGGCGTAGCCGTGGCCGGGTCCACTTGTTCTTTTTCTATTTCTTTAAATTCTTTTTCCTTTCAAATGTTAAACTCTTGTAAGCCCAACGAATTCAATTACCTGTTGAATCCGGATTCAACAGGTAATTAAATTCTATTTCTTTAAATTCTTTTTCCTTTCACTGCTTTCAGGCCTTTTTAGGCATTAATTTATTCAATTTTATTGCCATTTTAATGATTTTAGTATTACTGGGAACACCGTAGCAGCCACATCCGTGCTCAAACCATTTCCTTTTTAAGGTTTTTACCCCTTTTCTGTTCTTCTTTGTCGCTTTTTACCCCTCTTCAACTACGTAGTTTTTACTGTTTTTCAACTTTTCCTGGGTGGACCTTTTTCATCCCCTTCCCGTCATTTTGTGGCTACATTTCTAGTTCATAGTACTTCATACCTACGTAGTCTGTGCACCAATTCGGTTTCTGTTCATACCTACGTAGTCTGTGCACCAATTCGGTTTCTGTTCTAGTATTTTTTCCTTTCTACTGTTGTTCTAGTATAAGGAAGTTAGGGGCCACCCGACCTGCGATTTTTAGGCGGACACTTTTCCTTCCCTTGCCATCATTTTGTGAGGACTGTGTCCTCAGGGGGGCCCTAGGCAACATGCATATGTTCTGGACTGTGGCGCCGCAGCGAGCCTCGTGCCCGCCCTGGGTGAAGGCGGGCCTGAATATTCACGAGAGGCCCTTATCTCAGCATTTTCCAAAGAGGGGTCTCAGATAGTTGCTGCACGACAGTTGGTTGAAGCCGCACCTTACCCGGGGCTCTTCCAGAAGAAGCAACTGCGCCAGGCAGTTGAGCCCAGGGCCCGGGTGGTTGTGCCTTGGGCACACACTGTGAGGCCGACACATCACAAAGTGGCCACGGGCCAACAAGAAAGTAGCATTGTCGTCGTATCTACCAAGAAAGTAGCATTGCCGTCGTATCTACCAAGAAAGTAACATTGTCGTCGTATCAGGAAGGAGACCGGACGCCCACTTCTTTGCGTCTACCCGGAGGGCCAGTGCAAATGCAGCAAACAATCGGAGCCTGGGAAATTCTGGGTGTGGCCAACTGAAAAGGGCCCAGGCCCTCATCTGTCAAGCCAGACCTGGGCACAGACACTGCGGCCCGACCAGAAGCTACTGGAGACTTCCACGGCCAGGCCCAGGGAGTCCGGCAGCAGCTGCCACTTCCACATAGGAAGTAGGCCAGCCAGAGAAGGGCATTCTGGCCAATGCTGGCATTGCGGACACACTGCTGCGCTGGCAAGCGAGTGTCTGCACGCGCTAGCTTGGCCTGGGGCGCGCGCGCACGGTGAGAGGTGAGGGCGCTGTAGGGGAAGTGGGGCGCTAGAGGCCATAACCGGGCTGCAGGGCGCGAGGCAGAGGAGGGCGACAAGAGGTCTTCGGGAGGAGGCGCAGAAGTGGGTGACAGGGGGTGATGAGGGGAGATGAGGGGAGATGAGGATACATATCGGCATTGGTGTTGACGACATGCACATTGGTCTTCGAGGCCGAAGTGAGCCTGTTATATGAACGTAGATAGGCTAGGTAGGCAAGTAGGGTAGGCCGGGCGCTTGGCGCCAGACAGAGAGGAGCGACATTGAATACTGCGTTGGTGTGGCCTGAGGGATTGAACATTGGCTCATTACTTCATTGTATTGCTCTTATTTGGATGATGGAATCTTGGTGCATTTCAGCTCTCTCTGCTTGTACTTGACCATCTGGACTTCTGCGTGATTTTGCAATTTGGTTTTCTGAATATTGCTCTCGCTCATATTCCTTGCAATTTTATCTCTACATGCGCTTCATAGGTACGGTCCTCAAGCTTTTTTCCATCTCCGTTTTTCCTTCTTTTTTTTTTTTTTTTTTCAAGTATAAGGTGCCACCCTAAAGAAAATAAACATAACGAACCACTGGACCTATGATTTTTGGTAACTAGTTTTCGATGCACTAGCTGCCATAGCTGCCTTAGATCGACAGTGGAAATAGGATGAAGAAAAAATTGAAAAGTAGTTTAAAATACGCAATGGTGCCTGTATTCAGAGTGGGGGCAACATAGACAGAGTTGAGAACAGAGGAGATGGCGACTCCGCTAGAGATGGAGGACACATCATGGAGAGCTGACAACGCAGGGAAAGAGAGGACACTTTGTGGAGCTGTGATTCTGGTTCACGGTATGAAGCCATGGGAAGTTCTGGCGCCTTTGAAAGAATGGGCCCACATGCTTCATCTGAATGGTTGTGCGGCGGGATGGCGAGGATCTAGAATACAAAATAGCTCAACTGGCAGAACTAGCAGAATAAGTAAGGGATGGAAGCGGCAGCGGAGATTCTAGCTATCTGGCGGACAAGATTAGACAGGCTTACATTTTCATTTCCCACAAACTTTCGAATGGCGCCTCGCTTTTCCAGAGTCCGGTGGAACTGTGCAAGTTTCCATTTACATCTCTCCCCCCCTATCACATACACAGGCTTCCTGCACATTGATAAAATGGGCACAAAGAAACATTTCTGGATGTCAGATGAGGACAACAGCAACATGGTAACAGTAACAGGGGCAAAGCAGAAATTAGCAATAGGCATCGGAGGGGCAAAGCAGGAAGGGAGCAAAAACAATGAAAATGGTAAGAGGGACAACAACCGGTGACAACGAAGTTCACGGGATCTTATCATATGGGACAGAAAGACAACCATGAGCACAACGCATGTTTTCGTTGTTTTGATGAAATTGGCAAATTTCCTAATATCAACCACATCCAGCCAAATCCACACAGATTAAGAAGAGAGCAAGGCCAGACATCTTTTGTATGCTCAAGTGCCAGGAGCCCGCACCGCACTCTGGCGTAAAGAACAACCTGGAGAAGAAAAGGAGTCTGGGCAGGGTTGCATAGCTGCCGACCGCCGACAGCTACCGCCGACCACATTGCAGCCTACCAGTAGGGCTGACCGGTCAGCGGTCTGCCGACCAGTCAGAAAACAGACATCCACTGATTATAATCTGAGTTGGGGGCTGTATTGCGCTTACTGAGTACAGCCCAAATCCGTCTGGAGTGCGCTTACTGAGTACAGCCCAAGAAGAAGAGTTGGCCAACTTCTGTGCACACTTGTGTCAGGAGTCATGCCAACTTCTTCTTCTTCTTCTTCTTCTTCTTCTTCTTCTTCTTCTTCTTCTTCTTCTTCTTCTTCTTTGCCAGTCTCACTCAGGCAAGGCAAAGGGTTTTGCCAGTCTCACTCAGTCTGAGTCTTGCCTCCATTCATCTTCTTTCCTAGACTCGTTCTTCTTCTATTTCAGTGGTGATAACTGGCATTGTCTCGTCTTTGAGTTTTGAATTATGAAAAATGGGCAGGATAAAGGCACTGGAGTAGCCACGGGTTTTCCCCATCAGACTGGCAGAAACTGATATGGTCATGGGCCTTGTTGGTTGCAGCAGGTCAGGTCCGGATGTAGTGGCGAACCCTTAACCTATGGTTTTGGAGACCAGGGGTGTATGGAAACTTCTGCCTCGTTTTAAGAGTGGACTCACTCTGAGCCGCATTTGACGGTACTACGACCAGTCAGGAGGAGAGATGGTTAACGGAGGCCTTAATGTTTTAACTTGTCATGCCATTTATAACAAAACCCAAGGGGCATTTTAACCAAACGTGCCACCAATTCATAGAGTGGACACCATACCAACTACTTACCAAAAAAAAAAAGGAAAAAAAAAACAACCTATAAAAAAGCAAGGCAAAAGTGCACACTTGTGTCAGGAGTCATGAACTGCACATACAGACCAGAGCTGTCAGCATGGGCATCACTTCACTGCAAACAAGTCAGCAATGAATGAGGTGTGTGGAGCGGGGGAGGGGGAGGGAGTGCGGGCAGTTGCTTTGCATGCTAAACGCACAAAGATCGGTTTGGCATTTCTTGACGACAAAGCAGAGGGCGAAATGCATGAGAGTAAACAGTACTTACCCTGTGCTGCATGCTTCACTCAACATGCTGACGGAGTCAGCAGTGATAACAAAGGTATCTGCCCAGGAGAGTAATCCTAGATGCGGGTTCGGACCTGCCCTTGGCCACCACATGTCCCACCACACCGGCGGCACCGGCAAAGCAAACGAAAACAAATACAAAAACAGTTCCCCACCCAACATCTGTCAATTGTTGCTCTAACTTCTAAGCATGGCTGACAATAAGAGCCAATAAAACTGAACTGATGCAAAAGGGTTTTGTGGCTTTAGCCACACCAGTTACCGAATTTCAAAAGAAAAATAGTCATTCTAGCATGAAGCTGGGAAATCGAAGAGTGATTTGTTATGATTGTGGTTGGAAACATCTTCTTGCCAAATAGCTTATACTAAGTCCAGGCGTTTCATCCGTCTTATAAACTGGCCAATCATATTAACCATATCCTCAAAAAGACATTCGAAGATTCTCAAACAGACATTCCATATACACAATGTATTTAGTTCACCTCAGAGTAGTCACGTCCATGGTCGGCGCCCCTGGATTGGTCAGGGGCCGACCGGCCGACCGTCGGACTGGTCCGCACCTACCGGTCGGGGGTCGGCCGGCAGTGGCACCCTCCGTCCAGAACCCCAAATAACCCCATCAACACCCCCATAACCCCCTCCATCAAAATGTATTTAGATAGCATCAGCGTAGTCACGTCGATGGTCGGCAACCCTGGATTGGTCAGGGGCCGACCGACCGACGGCACCTACCGGTCGCAGGTCGGACCGCACCCTCGGTCCAGAACCCCAAGTAACCTCATCAACACCCCCATAGCCCCCCCC